CCATTTATCGCGCGATAATCTCCATTTATCGCGCGATAATTTATCATTTATCGCGCGATAATTTATCATTTATCACGCGATAATTTCCATTTATCGCGCGATAATCTCCATTTATCGCGCGATAATTTTTCATTTATCGCGCGATATTTTGATTTTATCACGCGATAAAAAAAAAATGTGTCATGTCCCCTATGGGCCACCGTACATATGGGCCACCGTCGTTTTCGCAGTGTTTTTACAGTGCAGTTTGTTCATTTTCAGGATTCCTCGTCAAATAGAACAATCCTGTTGGACTTTCCGAAATGGACTTCTAATTCGAACAATGATCCGCACCTTTTTAAAACGGATACGGCTATCGGGTTCAATATTCAAAGAATCAATCCATTATTGCATTGGCTAGCGGGTTCAATAATCAATTCATTATTGCATTCTTGAAACGACTGGCGGGTTCAATTTCCAAATGATCAATTCATTAATGTAACCTTCAGGGGTACGCTTCACTTAGTTTGATTGTAAACCAAAGTTATGCCAGTCCTCTTCATTACGAGGTGAAAAAGTCGCTTGCTGCGGTATTACGCCAAGATAATTTGGTTATATCAACTAAGTCAAAATTGTAAATTGGCCACCGTAACGAGTTAAAAAGCTGACGTTTCGAGCGCTAGCCCTTCGTCTTCAACACTAGCATTGAAGACACAACTTCCATTTACAGTATAACGACATTTTCATGTAGGCAAGTGACAAGAATGGCAAAACATACTAAATAGGGGATAATCATTTCATTCAACACCAAATTCTTTGAACACAATTTATCTATGACTGATAGTTTGGAGAACTTTCATCGACATATAGGAAGTGAAAGGGTCAAAGATCAAGGGCAGCACTTCTTACCGTCGGTGACTTAACACCTCGCAGTCTTCGAGCCGAATAAAAGATCATTTCCTGTCAGGACCACAAATCGTCAACTACTAAAATGCCGTCTTCGGACTTTATTTTATACTACAGTTTGTTATCTCTGAAGCAATTGCTTTTCATAATAAATAAATTGAAATATCCATGTTTTTATCGGGAGAAGAAAGAATACTTGGTGAAAGATTCAAATACAATTACAGCAATTTGTCTGATATGAGGAGTTTCAGGTGCAACTACTTCCAAGAGTAATTTAGGACAGTATGCCCAAAATAATCACCTGTAAAGAGAATTAGATTCTCTTTTCATGCATATCTACCCTCCTGCGCACCTTGCCTAACCCTCCCTAAGTACACCAATAACTCTACTATGACAAGAGCTACATGTACCCTTACGCTTTACAAAGAGCTCTGGTTTAATTCAGACTACTGATTTCCTGGCTTTACACCCTTAAGGGGCATTAATATCTGACAAAGTTGTCAATAGGTCTAAACTTATGCTTGTTAAAAATTGTTTGCATATTAAGGGATGCTGTTTACTACTATGTGGAACTCTACAATTGAATCCTATGATTTGTAACTCTAGAGGACTGGACATCTTCCACAGAAATAAAAAATTGTACAGCCCTTTGTACAACAAGGTTGACCAAAGATTTCTAGGAAAGCAGGATGGTGGAACATTAATTGTCAATTCAAGAGTCTTATAATTACAGATAATTTTATACATGTTTCTTCTCTGTACTTCGTTAAATATTTACTTCTTACTTGGGCCTTTCTGAATTGAAACACCTTCCACATGCCAGTGGTGAACTGCTAATCAGAATCAAGTCAATACATTTGGACAGAAAGTACCATGCTCTCAGTCCCAATGACATAGTCCACAATGTTAAAAACATATTGGACTGTGCCACATTATCAAATTCAAAGAACTAGACAATCGTTTGCTTCCCAATCAAATACACAACTGGTGATTTTCCTTAGAATCATCAATTGCCTTCTTATTTGCCTAATCATGTTTTTATTAAGTTCACTACCTGGAGGCATAGGAGAATACTATGAAAACTGGTGCTTCAATTCAACAAGGCACAGGTATTGCCTCTTAAATCCATCCACTAGATTCTAGAGCCAAAACCAAGAGTTGGTGCTGGCAAAGAAGGAATCATGTCCAGCAAGTATTGTCTATCAGAGTCTGACACATAGTTGTGATGATGCTGTGGGTTGCGAGATCCAGAGTGATGGTGCTGACTTATGTAAGGGTGCCATCTGACATCTGCTTGCTGTCTAGCTGCTGCTTCCATCTCCTGATGTTGCTGCTGCAAGTGCTGTTGCTGCAGCTGAAATAACAGTGAATTGGTGTGAGGCTGATGGTGGTGATACAGTGCAGGTTGGACTGGTTGGTGATGATGATGCATGATAGGTTGGTGATGTGCTATGTGGTGACGAGGGGGTGCAGGGGCTAAAGGAGGCTGAGGAGAAGACTTCTGACTCTGGTGATGAGGCTTTGGTGCAATTTGAGGGGTATCATTGATCTTTTGCTCAATCTCCTGTTCCTGCTTAAGAGCTTTCAAGAATGCTGCCTTCAAACGAGCAGTGTGTTCTGCTTTAAGCTCTTTCTTCACATTGACAGTGCTACACTTTTCACACACAATTACCAGCTCTAAGTCATTGCCTGGCTTATTTGTCCATGAAGGCGAGAAGTCTGTGTTACAACGTGAACAAACTTTCGGGTTTATCAATTGCTCTTGCAATGGCACATTTTGCTTTCCCTTGGCTTCTTTAGCAGCCATAACATCCACCACAGACTCAAGCCCAACCAGAAGCATAAAGTCTTGGCTGCCAAGGCTTGGAATAAATGACCACTCAGGGGGAGGTGGCTTTGGAGGTGGTATCTGAAGCAGTGTCCTTTCCAACTGCTTTCGCAGTGCCATCTTGGCTGCAGCTTGTTTCCCACCGGGACTTTGTTGATGAGAGCTGCTTGGCAAGTGATGCTGAAATGACACATATCCACTACTGGCTGGTAGGCTGCTAACATTGTTTGCTCTGACAGGGGTAGGGCGAACAGGGGCAGGCTGATTCGCTGCAGAATAAGCTGGACTGCCTCTGCCTGCACTGTGAGGGTACAAAGGAGTAGGCTGAATTAGATTTGCCATGCAGGTGACAACATTTTGCAGATCAGCAATTGCAGATGATCCAGGTTTTGTTGAATGTGACTGAGTTGACTGTTGATGTATGGACTGCTGCACTGCAAACTCTTTCAAAGTCTGGGCTGCAGAACCTAAAAACTTTGAAGACCCAGAGTTTGAAGACTGTGCTTGAGAATTACCACTTCCTTTTGGAAGTAGCCTTGGCTGCCCTGGCACATCCCTGGGTGGATGGAATGTAGAAGTGGCCAGTACTGTTGAGGCCTTCAAAGGTGGTGGGGGAGGAAGATTCTGCCCTTTTTTAGGCGGAAGCTGCATAGAGGACTTCACAGGTTGAGGAGGAGCTCCTTGTACTGGTAACTTCTCTACGTTTTCTTTCTGAAATTTGGAGCTACCTTTTACATCATTTTGTGCAGCATGTAGTTGTTTCAACAAGAGAAGTTTGGCTTCCTCTTGCTTCAGTTCATTTCTAAGGTGTGCAATCAATTTTTCTTTAGCTTGAAGATCATCATCATTTTCATCAGACAGAGGGGAACCTGGCCTTGAGCCATCACTAGTATTACCATTTGTGATGTTGACATCACCCTTTGCCTCACCATTGATTTTTTTCCTGCTGTCCAAAGAGGATAGCTTTGGTATTTTCAAGAATTCAACGATACTTTCCTTTGCCCTGTGAGATATCAAAGGTTTTCTCTCGACCCCATTTGCATTTGCTGATGGTGTGTTGTTTTCTGTATTACTTGTCTCTTTTTTGTTAAGTTCTTTCACAGAGCTCAATCCCAACTGTGCAAGCAGATCCTCCTGAGAGATACATTCATCTGAATCTGAATTATTCCTCTCTGATTTTGGCTCAGTAGCAACCTTAATTTGTTTAGAAGCCTGTTCGAGTTCGAGGGATTCTGTTTGATTCACTGGCAGTTTGCTTTGTAAAACATCAAGGGATGTTTCTGCCTTTTCCTTTTTTATAACAGGTTCGATAGTGTTTGCCTTCAGTTCCTTGTCTGAATCATCGTCAGATGAAGAAGATGATATTACCACTAGTTCACTGTCTTTCTTTGTTGACCTAACACAAAAAAGAAACAGCATCATTTATACATGGATAAGCATATATAAATAAAAGCAAAAAAAAAAAGAAAAAAAAACTGCTCTAAAATATTGAAGTCCATGGGCTAATATTAAGATGAGTCCTTCATAAAGCACACTTTCCACATTTGTTCTTTCTTGTAGTATCTCTTTTTGTCCTTGAAGTTGCTTTAGATTTCCTCAGTTTCCTCACCAATATAAGTACTTGTTTAAGATCCATTTCGTTCACAGCGTTTTAACAGAATTTTTCTCAGCTGTATTTCTAAAGATATTTTTCATATTTCAAAACAAAATTCTCCCCAAAATATCATGTTTGTGGTTTTGATATTGAAGCTTTGAATTTCAAGTGGGTGTTACAGGTTAGGTTCTTGACACAAAGTCACGAAAGATAATTATGTATTTACTAGTGCAGAGATCTGAAAATACACATAAAACAAAATAAGTCCAAAAATTGTAACTGTAACACAACATTATAAACATAAGAACTAGTCTCTTACTTCATCTCATTGCAGTTATTCAGTGGCATACATACACTTTTGTACAATAACAATAATGAGCAAACCTAAATGCCTTTTGGAAACTTTAGACCAAGTTGATTTCCAACAATCAAACACAGCCTAGAGCATTTACAGTTCAGTTCCTCTAATCCGACATGGCCCTCTTTTGTCAAACTGATAACATTGCACGTGAAGCCATTAAAGGAGCAACAAATAATAAATAAATGTACAAATGAGAGCTTAAAAAATGAAAAACAAAGTACCCAAATTCTGATTTATCAACTAAGCATTTCTTTTTCATAATTCTAGACTACACAATTCCCCCTTAACTTTACAAACCAAAACATGATTTCTGATCTTTTGAATAAAGACCTGTTATATGACTGTCAAATTTGAGAATTTTATATATATATATATTTTTTGGAGATAGGAATTAAATAGAGAGCTAACCTCTAGCAGCAACCAAACTTTAACTACTGCTGACTGTAATGGGATGTTGGCGTGAGATTAGAAACCAAAGAAAACGAATTCTGCATGTATTTGAAACTTTACAAAGGCCCTTAGAAAGAACAATACAAGCAAGATGCAAGAAATTATGCCTTGCTTTGAAAGTTGTGATGTGATGTAGAATTAATTGACAGCGGAGAAAACTGACGTCTGTTTTTTTGGCTTTCACACTAATTTAACGGAAAACGAATTAGCTTTTCAAATGGGTGAATGAATAAAAAATTCAGACAATCTTTTTGTTGTGACAAAAGACCACCGAGACGAGGATCTTTGAAATGAAACGACTTTAAACCCCTTTTAAAAGTTATCAATGAGTAGAGCACGGTTACAAGTCATGTATTCGGAAACTATGAAATAATTTTCTCAACTCCCGATCCTACATATTTTCTTATAAAATAAAAAAGAATATAAACAGAAGATGTAAGCTCTCCACAGCAAGGGTCGTTCTTCAATATTCTTAAGAAAAAGGCTTTGTCAAGACGCGATTAAAGGAATTACTCAGTATGTTAGCTGGTGTCGCAGGTGTGATGTTAAGATTACAGCACTACAGAGGAACACGAGTGGAAGATGTTCATTAAGCAACAGAATTATTTAGCCATACATTCGACAGGAAATAAAAAAAAAATTCATCAAGTATTCGATAAGACACGTTTTCTTTACAACACGTGTGTACCGGTACGATCGTGCGAATCACATCCTTCATCATTGCGTTTGATGACTCAATTCAATTTAAAAGAACATCACAACATTTCACAGTTTCACTTTGAAGGAAAGAATAAGTCTCACTTACTTTGAATTTTGCTCGTCGCCAGATTCAACTGTTTTTTTATCCAAAGCCGTGTCAACTGATGAATGACCTTGTTCGTCAGTTGTACCACTGTTTACATCATCTTTCTCATCTGAGTTTGGCGATAATTTTATTCGCTTGGAACCCTTTGATACAGCTTGCGATGCCATCCCTATAAATACAAAATATTTCCAAGTTAAGAGATTACCTTGAACAATTCTTGATACGACAGAACTCAAATAGAATTTTGAATCAAAACAAAGAGAGTGATCTTCCATAAATTTGCCGGCAAAATGTGAAAACAGCGGCCTTCCCCGCGTGACAGCCTATGTAGTAGATTTCTTTACCCACCGATATAAAAGGGTATCAAAGACTTTGATTACAAAAATGTTGAAAAATAACCATGAGCAAAAACCATTATGGCCAAAATATGGTCCTTCGTTTGCGGTATTTCCCAGAGCAATAGAAATTTGGCGCCAATACAATATGGCCGACACGACACGAGCTACTTGTAACGGAAGAGACACCCGCCGCTCAATCTGTAAAATTTTTCCGTCGCTGTTCCACTGGTGTCGGTGAAAGTAATTCAAACCAAAAATACCTTGTTCCTCGTTGAAGTATTTCAAGAACAAAGTTCCACATTCACAAGATAGGGAGCTCCACTCGTCCAGTTGAACGTGACCGACTCGAGGACGAGGCTGGCACAAAATTATAATTTGTGCAGCGAATGGTAAAAAAAGTGATTATTCAGTCTGCATTGAACAGCGACAGTAGATTGCTCGAGTAGTTTCAGTTTCCGTTCTTCGATTTGTGGTTACTTGGTGGACCTTTCTCCGTCGACGAAGGATGTTACGGTTATTCACGAACTTCAGAGACCAACAGAAAACGAAGTTCCTTTCATTCGAAAGCCATGTGGTGTTTTGCAACAACGAACACGACACTTACAATGGCGGTGAAATGAAGGTTAGTCGTTCGTTGAAATATATTGAATGGTGCCCTCTCCCGCCTGAAGATGGTTCTAAAATAAACTGTGAATCCTCGTGGGACTTAATACTCGAAACTGACACCGACAGTCTTCCTTAATTTCCTCTTGGCGAGCAGAAAAGTATTTGGGATTTTCAAGCAACAGAGGCAGGGGCGGGAACACAAAATCAAACGCCACACAACCTTCTGATAGACGTGTGCACAAAGAGTCGGCTCCCACACCCGCTGCGTTGAGATGACAACCTGTCAATCAGCTGCTAAATAGACCAATCAAATTCTGGAAAACGCTATCAGATCTTCTTGTTGCCTGGGCAACGAGTTTGTACTGTAAAGACGATGACGTAGTGGACTTGACATCCGGGAAAGTGGTCAAACCGGCTTGACAAGTTTGTGTGCAGGTGTTATTGGCAGTACTCGTGACGTTTACTAATCCACTTATGATAACACCTTATGATTGGTCGGATGCCATTGGGTAATTGTCGGCAGGCAGTAAAAGACTCAATAAACAATCACTAATCTTTCCTCGCCTTACCACAAACAAAAAGTACCAAACTAGTTGAACTGTTACCACTTGGCCATGTTGCAGGAAAGAGGTGCTACACCCAAGCAGTTCAGATGGTACTACTTGTCATTTTCGTCACGGTAAACTCATCAGTTACTTTGGAAAGGGTGATTCCCCTTTGAAATAAAAAGCCTTAGTGTTAGTGTTCATGAGGTATATGTGGGCCATCCCAACTTGGCTGATACACTTTGTACTCAACCCAGTACCTTTCTGTAGCATTCAGTTCTGCTACTTGGTGATTTAAAGTGGCTGTACAAATTTTTGTTAAAACAAAGTGTTTCTCAATATTTTATTACTTATGCATGAAAATTGCACGATAAGTGACCCGGAAAAAAACGACCTTGTCAATCTTGTCAATTGATTGGTGAGGATTTTCGAAAGGCTTCAATAATTTCTCAAAACGAAAAACCTATATCTTTCAGTAAACTTTACTGTCACATTAGAGGTACTTTAACGTAACAGATGTAAAGTCTTTGAGGAATTCGAAAAATTAATTTATGCGAGAGGCAGAGGACATTGTCAATATGCAATTGTTTGCTTTCAATAAGTCATTATACGCACGATTGATCAGTGAAAGTTCATTGGATACTTAACCACCAAAAACGACAATGCTTGTCAATCTCAATTACTTTTGTTTGAGATTTGTAAATGATATGGCTTTCCGTATTAAATTTAAAATGTCAATCCAAATATAGCACATTCTGTAAGCGGTCGAAAATTCACGCCTTCGTAACTGTCTGCAAATATTTTGGCACTTTTAATGTTGCCAAATCTTTCTCTTTTTTTTTTTCTTTTTTTGACATTCCGATTCGAGGTTCATAGGAGTCACGAGACTGGATGAAATATGAACACAAAGTTTTTTTTTTCCTTTTTGGTACTAAATGTCAAGTACATGCGTCACCTTTTCCTTCCGAAGATTCGAAACTTTACTAGAAAGGACACTTTAGTCTGACACTATTTTCATCAACTTATCAAAGAACGTGGTAAAATGCAACTACATCAGATTTTTCCTGACCCTAGGAACGTTTACTTCAAATGAATTGATTATAATTTTATAGTAGCCGAAATAAGTTGTGTGTAAGTGGTCATTGGAGTAAACATTTTTCACCTTGATTGAAACAATAAAAAAAACGTAAAATACACCGGACGAAACATTCAGGCAAATGTAAGATAAAAATAAAGTAATACAAAACAAATAGAAAATTTTAGATAAAAATCTAAACATTTTGATAAATTGCATCAATTTTGGCAGATTAAGCCTAATAGGGAATCAAATATCTTAGAGCAAAAATCAATCATAAAACATAGCTCTTTAGGGCTTTTAAAGGAATTAATAGACAGCTGTCTTTACTGTTTGGACTAGTTTTCCCCAAGGTCACCATCATACAACTCAAAACCCTATAGAGAATAACAAAATTCCCAACAATAGATTTGTCTGATGAAAAGCAAAATATTTTGAAATTGAGAATCATGAAAAGTGTCAGTCAAAATTGTCTCACCAGAATGGCACTGAATACAATAAAAATGATTTATGTAAAAACCTGAGATCTCTGGAAGTTAGCTAATGTACTATGCAAAATATTATTGTAAAATAAATTAAAATATGAATAATTATCATTGATAACTCAATTTGCAAAATATTCAGTGACACTATTGTTTTCTAAAATCAGTCAGAATGGTTGCTGCTTACAATCTTGGTTATTAAAAACTACAATCTCATGAAAGTTGATGACTCATAATTGACAAATTCCTTATTTTCCTGGCAATGTCAGGTTACCAGAGGAATGAGAACAACAAAACACCCTTAAATAACTTACAAAAAAAAAAAAAACAAACAAAATTTAGGTGAGGTGTCATTTTTCCCGACACCTTAAACCCTTACAAGCGACTAACAACTAATTTCTCCTTACAAGGTCCCCTCTGTGTCACACATTGAGGTCATCAGAATAAAGGAAATCTTCTAATTGATATTTTCCTTTGTTCTCATCACAGGTGTCTACTTAATATTGTATTAATGTTGTGTGGAGAAATTCTGCTTTGGTCACTGATGGAGGTAAATGGAATAATCCTTGTTGCCATCTTAAGAAATATATAAAAATAAATGCATGCTGATGTTAGGGTGAAAAGGGATTTAAGACCAGAATAACCTTTAGGGACATTTCATCATTTTATTTGCCTTTATTCATAATAATAAATAAATTTACAGCATGATAATTAGAACTTGAGAACTCAAAAAACCCCTGAGCTTATGGAAGAGGCCATCTCACAACTGGTATCTATGTGAAAAGTTAAGTGCTGCTAATGTGTGGATTGGCAGATTTAGTGACAATTATGGTAAAAAATCTACCATTTTTATTGGAAAGCTATGCCATTACAATGTTTTGGAAGCAATGTCACCCAATTGTAGACTGAAAATTTGCTTTACACTTTTTATTGACTATCTTTACTAAATAGTAGAGTGGTATTTAATACAGCATAAACACAGGGATATACTTCACAATATTATCTTCTAGAGGGTGTGAAATAAAACACTCACCGACAGTAATTACCACTTACTTTAAAATTGTCATACACAAGGGGGTGGGTTTATTTGAAAGGAACTATCATAACTTCATAACCATTAACCTTGAAGGATATCCCTGTAAAGGCAAGCTGCCAATCAGTGAAAACTAATTGCACATGAAAAGTCAATCTTTCGCTAGCTTATTACATGCTTATGTTTGGATTTTGTTACAAGCTTTGACAATTCATTTTGATTGTAATTTTAACTTATATTATAATAATAGCTAAGTAATAGAAAAATTTATTCATGAATTAGGTGTTACCGTTATTGATTTGCACTTAGTGCACAAAGAATTTCAACTTATACTTCAAGTATATAACTTTTTGTGTAGCTGTTCCGTTTTGGCACCAAAATACAGTCACAAAGAATCTGGGGATGAATTAGCCTTTTTATATTTAAATAGGTGCAACAAATTTAAATACTTGTCTAACAATCAACCAAACACATCTGCTAAAAGAACATGTAAAGATGTATGGATTACCCAACAGAATTGCAAGTAGCAGTTTGACTGTTGCCGATGTTACCGATGGAAAAAGTGCAGAAATAAAATGGTTATCTGAGTGTGCATCTGTAGCCTTCAAATTTAAGTAAAGCTTCCCTATGTAAGCACAAATCAGGTATCTTTATGTATATATTTACAAATTCTTGTAAATTAGACTGTTTTTAACCCCTTGTTAAAAAAATAATTTATAAATATGTATATTAATGAGACACTAGCAGTCTGTCTTTATTTAAAAAGTACATCAGTGCTTTATGCATAATGTATGTATATGGTGTGGAAAATCCAATCAATGCTACTGTCAGACAGAGTAAAGCAGTACAGTAGTTTCTTGGTCTGTGGTTTTTCAAGCCATGCCATTGTTGAAAACGATGTGAAATGTGTGGACTTCACAAGAACCATACATATCCATGGATAGAGGAACAAATGGAAAGGTAAATTTACAGCATGTTGAAAAACTCATATTGTCATTCATGGGATGCCACTGTTTGAGGAATAAATAATGGTTACACTGATGCCGATAAGAAAAACAAAGACATCTTCTGCTAACGTACCAATCAGGATCTGGAAAAAGTGCTCTAGAAAACCTGTACTTCTATGCTTCTATGGTACTTCTATAATTAAGTGGATGAGCTTTGAGATTTCATAACAAAGCACAGGTCAAATGTAACTCTGGTTTGAGAAAAGTCCAGGTCCATGGATGTTACATCATGCTACTGGGTCCAGCTTGAGGAAAGGTGGTCAGCAGTCCTGTTGTCTGCTTGGTTGCAGATTGTCTTGATGGGCTAATACTGCCAAGCCACTGTAAGGTAATAAAATACAAGTACATGTACCAATTTCAAGTTACACTTTGAGAAATAATGCGAGAAAACGGCCATCCCACCTGCACGTACAACAATCATGTGCATCACATAGTAGAAAGCTGAAAAATTTGAAGATTTATGAATATGCATGTCTCACAAAATGGTCTAGTTGTATGCATACTTAGTACTGACAGCAAACCACTCATCCAATCAAACAAACTTTGTAAGCAGTGAGGGAAATCATCACAATATATGTACCTCAGTAAGTCTGTGCTCTGGCATCTGACCAGCTTGCATATGATCTGAAAGAAAGATATAAAATGTTGTTTTAAAACTTAATCTTAAAGTTACATCATCCCTTACCTGAACAAATCAAAGCACTATTTGAACTTCACAAAAAAGCAATGAAAAGGTTTCAGTCCATCGGGACAAAAGAAGCAAGAAATTTCACTTTACAAGTTGTAAATCAAAACAAGGAATCATACTCTAGCAGCAATGTAAAGTTTAAAATAAATTATTTTGAATACTAAAAAACATTAATTAATAATATAATTGACCATATCACTAAACAATAAAGACAAATAAAAATTAATGGCATTTTGGTAAGTATCGGCCTTAGTATCAAGTTTTTAAATGATAATTATATTTGTCTTTAATTTGGGAATTATCACAATCTTTAAAACGAGAACAGTGTATATAGTACCTAACACAAAGAATAAACTTCAATGTAACCAACAGCATTACTGGAAATTACTTACTATCCAACAGTTGCTTGGTAAGGCTATTGTGAAGCTGATAGTATTCACTGGCAGAGACAGGATCCCCCATAATCCCATACAGATCTGTTAATAACAAATCATCACCCAATGTAAAGCCTCCATGTGACTTTTGAGAACATAAACTGCTAGAAGGTAAACATGCCTTACAAGTGATTTTCCCATTTTCTCCATGTATCATTACCAATTTTTGTACTTCTTGAAGCCCTCCCCCCACCACCAAGGATAGCCCCCTCCCCCCCACCAAGGATAAAGATCACCAGAAAGCCTATGAGAAGTCTAACAATGATCAAATGAAAGGTTCTCCCAGAACTCCATGCTTCAACTTACAGAAATGTATCACTTAAACCACTTGCACATCTTTAGGTAGATTTACTTGTACATATAGTTGATTAAAGTACCTAAATCAAATTGTTTCTAAATTTTACCTACATTTACTATACATAAATATGAATGATTATTTCACTTGCCTCTTAGAAGTGATGCAGCCCACATATTAATATAAGAGTCTGGTATACGGCCAGCCAGTTGATTTGCAGGCAAAGCCATGTCAAGGGCCTCCTACAATTAATATATAAAATAAAACTGCAAGTCAAACATGAATAAATGAATGAAAAGATAAATTTATGCATAATGATGAAGATGATAATAAAAATAATAATAATGAAATCAAAACAAAATGACAAAAAAGGCAAACAAACAAACAAAGCACAACCTGGGTAATCCCTTGAGATAAAAATGTGCTTCCTAGCAATACCAATGAACAAGCTGTCAGTCTGTTGAGATCTTCAGAGTTTGCTATCTTTAAAGTTTCACGCAGGTACTTTCTGTAGGAGAAATTGCAAGTAAAAAAAAAAAAACGTTATAAGAAATCTGAGTTGTAGGATAATTTTACCTTCTAAGAAATTACAAAGATAGGGTTCCTTTATAACGTATTGCTTTACACCGAAAAACATACTTGGCATCCATGTAATGTGAATCAAAGAATGCTTGTAATCCTCTGATATAGTAGTAACCCGCTTGGTGACTGTATGACCTAAGCATGACAAATACACAGGGCTGGTATCACTCATTCCAAACAAAATAGGTTCCCATACTAAAAAAAAAGTTAGATTTACAATTAATTTCCAGTCTTAAATTCATTATGCCATGGTTTCTTTCTCCTACAAAGGACTCCTTAATAGCAAATTTAATGGATGTACATACTAAATACAAACTACAAGCCAGTACAACAGTTATAGAGGATGTGTTTGCTGTTAATTGCCATTGCACAAATAAAGGTTAAAAGTTTTGTGATACAGAGCCACTATCTTTATCAATATTGTCCATAGCAAGTTGGCTTGTCTGATAGTAGAGCAGTCAAAACAATGTAATCAATATAATTCAGTGACCACATGCTATGAGACTGCAAATTGCTAACAGTAGTTGTTCACATCTGGAAAAATAGTCCTGTCCAAAGGCGAGAAAGAAAAATATTTAAGTTTTGAAACTTGTTATTTTGAACCATTCCTTATAAATAATTATTTTGTAGTTCATTTGGTTATGTCCCAGAAACAATACAATCATGTATGAACTCCACACAGTACATGTGAGAACTCCAAAACAAAACAAACAAACAAACAAAAAGAAGTACTAAAGCCAACTGCAATTACAAGCACTCAGTGGAGAACCACACCACAAAAAACAGTGAAACTGAAAACACATATTTCAAGGTTGTTGACATGTGTATCACATTTCTAATAAATCATTTCTCCTTTACCCGGAAGGAAGCTGATCTGGTCTTATCTTTGCCAAAAGATTTTGGAGCTGCAAAGAAAATTCATAACATCTAATCAGTAAAATTCATAACATCTAATCAGTATTACATATCGGGAAAGAAATTTCCAAAGAACTAATAAATCCCTTAAAATACTCACTACGTATTAAGGGTGTTTGTGAGAGAAAAAAAATTCAAAAAAATTTTAAAAAATTTCTTAAGTTGAAGCAATTTCATTCATCAACACCAAATGAAAAAACTACATGTAACCTAATATCTGCTTTACTTTCCCTACCTCTATATTTTGAGCTCCTCCCATTCCAGATCGAATGTAGATAATTGCCATATTGAAACCAATGAAATTTCTCAGTTCTGGCTGGGTACCTGTCTAAAGGTAAAAGTACAGAGTAAACATCCCTGAATTAACATCTACAACAAATTCAACAAAACTCAATTCTCAAACCTACTTCTTGCTTTTTGAAAAAAAAATAAAAACAAAAAAAAACTTGAAACTGGAGCCTCAAAACTTGATTCTTGGAAGTTTCAAGAATAAAGATTTGAGTTTTGAGTTTGAATGGAGATAGTCAACTTACATTAAAGGAGCCTTGTACATACCTCTAATGCAACATTGAACTGTGCCACTGCTGAATCCATTAGATTCATGGACATGGCATATAAACCCTGATTGGAGAGAAAAACATGTCTTTGGTTATTACTGTAAGTCTTACCTTTTACATGCAGGTTATTTGATTAGGGTGAAAAAATAATTATTCAATACTAGTAACAGTTGAAAAATGATCAAAAGCAATGGACAATCATCACTAAGCATACCAAAAGAGTGTGGATGACAGATTGATGGGCTGTTAAAAACTTCCCATCTTGTTGAGCAATTTGATAAACTTGTGAAATCTAAAACAAAAAAATTAAAAATCAGTCAGGCAGTCATTCAGTCTGTCTGTAAGTCAAATGAATAAAAGGGGGAAGTTTCTAATTAAAAGAAACTGTGGTGCTGCATCAGTGGGGGTAAGAAGCTTAAGGTAATTTAGTAATATAAACTGAATTGAAAATGTTAATTGGCCACTATAAAGAGTTTCAGTGGCCAATTTACAATTTCAACTTAGTTGATATTACCAAATTGTCTGTACAGGCCCATCCGCACTAGTGACAAACTTGTTTCATTTAGACAAATTTTCTGTTATCACCAACACTTTACAAGTGCAGATGGTTTGTTGCAACTTGACAAAGTTTGGCCAAAACGGACAAATTTTCAAAGGCACCGCCAACAAAATTTGACCCAGGTAAAATCTTGGCAAAATCGACTAATAGACAAAACTGCAATAAACTTGTTGATCATTTGTCGTAAATGCCACCACCAGTAAGGTAATTGAACTGAGCTGTGAAACTCGCTGATTTTACAACTTTAAGGAAGTTAATATGAATCCTGGTAATTAGAGATTGAATCCATAGGCAAATTTTGAGCAGGTCAGGTGGTCGTGGAGTGATTTTCCAGTCACCACTTTATCGGTCCCACAATGAAGCAGTAGATGTGGCACAAGATCCAGAAGTGCCCAAAGCAAAGGGAAAGGAAAAGCTAAATTGAATAAAATAGGTTCCGTTAATGTGCCATCTCTTGCACATTTATTATTTTCTGTTCATGTCATATTTTAGATATTTCATATTTCCACTGTGAGTTTTTACTTATTAATTACGTGATTACTTATTTTATACATTGTTAATTTTGAGGGCCTCACTGAAAACCACTATGGTGAGCTGGGCTCTGCCCAGCCCTCTTTAAATATTTTTAATAAATAATAATTAAATAAAATTACTTAATTCTTATTAACCAAGTGGGAGGTCTATAAGGAAGAATCTTGACTGAGGTCGCCACTACAGACCGAACACAATGAGGTCTGAACCAGTGACCAAGGTCAAGGTTCTCCTATACAGACCGACCTAGCTTGGTTAATAAGATGTTTATTATATAGCTGTGTCTTATATGCCAATTTTTTATATTCTTTGTACCTTTTTATCTAGACCGGTCTAGCTGCCAGTCTAGATTGGAAAATCTAGACCGCTTTCAATATTGATTTCAGCCAATCAAATTAGTGAATTCAGTAGTTCCCAGTCCTTGTGAAACACAGCCATATAATAATATAGTGAAATATAGTATCGGTGTTATTTTTGGCTGTTAACTAAATGTGACAGATTTAACAGCTTTAACATTTCTAGTGCTGATGCAACAGAGGAGACAAAAATTTGTCAAGACAAAATTTGTCCTTTGACTTTGTCAGGGCAATTCAAGTTTTGTCTGCTAGTGCAGATAGGCCCTTAGTCAGTCAATCAATATGCAACAGAGGATGACAACCTCTGATGCAACAGAGACAAAAATTTGTCAAGACAAAATTTGTCCTTTGACTTTGTCAGGACAATTCTAGTTTTGTCTGCTAGTGCAGATAGGCCCTTAGTCAGTCAATCAATATAATTTGGTTTAATCAACTGAACTGATAATGTACATTGGCCATTGTAGAGAGTTTCTAAAGCTGACATTTCAAGCATTATCCCTTTGTCAGAGCAAATCTACGTTTATCACCTCAGTTAATAAAACCAACTTGTTATCATGAGGCTGAATGAAATTTGGGCAAGGTTAAAATCAAGGCATGCTGGTCAGCAGGGGTTATGCTGTGGGGGCACCCCTTTGCAATTGAAGGACCACGTAGTGCTCAGTACGTTTTTAGATCGTCGCACATCTCGACGTGAGCTGCTTGTTGTGTTCCCTCCCTCCTCTGTGGTAAGTCAATTATTGGTAAGTATAAACAATTCCACTGACTTGTCAGTGTGACAGTGCCAGGGGGGTGGACCGAGGTTGTGTCACCATGGTAACCTCCCTGCTGTGGGCAGTGAGTGCGATTGCCACAGCGCTATGGCACCTTCCTCCAAGCTCATCAGTGCCGATGAGTTTAACTCCTCCACTAATGCAGCAACACAGTCAGCCAGTCAGCTAGTACGTCAGTCACTGACTTGCTCACACAGTTAATACATCAGTTTAAATAAAATGTACAATTTGACAGACATACACTACTAAGGCACACTTTTATGCACAACAAATAGTAAGCAGATGTTCAAGGCTTTGATGAAATTGTTTGACACAAACATGTACAAAGAAATAAATCTTCCAGGCCTAGCCTTTAACTTGAAAAAAGCGGAGGACAACATTAAAAGAAAGGATAATTATATTGAGAGAAAAATTAATAGAGGGAAGTTTGGGATGAGTGGTGACCTGACCTGGCCCTCTTTTTTTCACTCTACATCACTCTACTGTAATTGTGCCTTTTATTATCATGCTCTGTGTTATTAAATGAATGCCCAGAACAGGATATTTCTACATTATAGCAAAATTATTCCAAAATGTATTACACATAGAATAGAGTTAGTAATTAAAAGTGAACCTCTTTTATAGCATGTGGCATCTGTCCTTGTACCGTTCTACAAAGGATCATGTGTTCTAGAAGAACCAGTTTAAAAGTTGATAACAGTCCTGAGATTGGCTCAGCAGCTGTAGAAGGCAATGCACACAACAACATATAATAAAATTCTTCAGCAATATCTATGAAAACATTGAAAACCATGGAGAGGCCTACATTGAAAAACATTCTTCAAATCAGAATCTCTGAGGATTTGTGCAAGAAAATTTGGAACAAGTCCTAAAGATTTTTGTGTCCCATGCTGTTTGTCCATAAAATTAATTAACTAGTGAAGTTTGTTAATCAAGAAATCAAGAACCTCATAGTTACACTTCATACACGACTGTATAGCAAATTACTAGGAGATCCTTACCCAGAGTATCAAAGCACACAAGTTTCATTTCTCTTCCAAAATTAATTGTTGGTAATAATCATATCAAATGAATGCATGTAAACATACATGTACAACAAATATGAAATGAATAAAACATCTAAAATAATTATAAAAACATGCTCACCTTTCAACCTTTCCACTTGAAGAAGAGCCTTCTCGCTGTATCTGATTGCCTTTTCCATACACCCAGAATACATGGAGTGCATTACAGTTACCTTGAAAGTTCAACATTGCAGTTATAAAGAGTAAAAAATTATTTACTGGTACATACTCCAAGGTTAATAAGTGTTTTCCTTTCTATGATCATAATAATATTCGTTACAATTAATGTTCTTTCTTTTCTCCATCCTTATTCTTACAGTAACAGGCACAGAGAGTCTAAAGCACAAAATGAATGTTTAAGTATTACAATAAAAAAGGCATTTTTCCATAAATGAGTTTGCACATCGTTCAGCTTACATCAACCCTGTAACTCCCATGAGTGATCAAGACAGAACTTCTCCTTACAATATCAATACAATGTCAAGCAGACAAGTGTTAAGAATACAGAAAATATCAACGAGGGGATTTTTAGATGATCCAATACCAAATTCTCCAAACTTACGTGATAAGAATTGTATGGCAGACAATAAGGAGAATTACTAAATGAGATCTTGGCAGTGAAAGAAGCTGTAACTTGTAATGTTGCTTAATTGACAAATTCTCCTTTTAAATACCATAGCAAACGTAAAGAGAAGAGTAAGGAGACTTGCAAACTGATGTTAATAATAATAATAATAAATAATAGTAATAATAATAAATAATAATAATAATAATAAATAATAATAATAAAAATAATAAAAATAATGAGAATACAATTTTTAAATAATTGCACTTAAGGCAAGCCTCTAAGCACTTTATAATGTGAAAGAGAGAGAAACAAATTTTTTAAATAAACTTTAAGTGCTTGAAAATCCCTACATGCAGGAAGCAGACCAGTAGGTTCTTTACAGAGCATAGCTGAGAAGTTGAACTTGGGGCAACCGAAAACAAATCTAGTGAGTAGCAGGGTGGAGGACTTGAACCTGGGACACCTGGATTACGAGTCCAGCACCCTAACCACTCATCCACACCACCTCCTCTACCTCTATGTTAGGGTGCAAAGGGTCAAATGATCAATCTTACAAGAAGTACACCAGATTTGTTATTTATATAATTATTTGATATTTTATATCTCTGTTATTTATACTGGTGTTAAATGAAGTATTAAAATTGCATCTCACAAATGACATGGAAAATCAGACCCTTACCAAATAAACCAGAACACAGAGATGCTCTTTAGTGAGCCATTCAAAGCGTTCTGCCTCATGAACTTGTGTTTCTGCAAAAACGAAATAAAAAAGGTTAAGTTAAATCAAGCTCTGAGTCTACTTCTATATATAGTTAGAGGAGTTTTGTTTTCATCTTTACTGTCTGCCACCTTTCTTAACTACTTACCTGTCCTCTGTAAACTTCTTCCTGAAAGAACTAGGCATACTTTAACTACATGAAGATAAATCTTTTCTTCAAAAAACTTTAAACAAATTTTGACCACAACGAATAGCAGATCATTAGAGTGTTGCCAAATTGTAGTATTCAGAGTTGATAACAAAGTAATATTTAGTAAGTGACACATACAGTGTAATATACACCAGCCTATGACTTTACCTACACAATCAATTAAATTGAAGTAAACATACCATCCATACTAAGAGTTGTCAAAAGCTGTATTGACTGTTGTAGTTGCTTTAAATGCGGTCTAACACTCTTTGCCTGTAAAAAGAATTAAAAAGACAATGCAATCTTGGTCTTTTTCACAGGTAGGTTATTAACAGTGAAAGTTGCAGTAGATAAAAACCATTTAAATTTGATCATGCTAACCTGAAAAGATGTTAATTTTCACCTACAAAACTTGTTGCATTTATATAAAGCCCCATACAAGTGCATACCTTCTTCCCTAGGGGACTATAATCATGGCAATATGTGGGAGTGCATGTGTTTACCTGCCCAAGTTTTAAAAAGGTCCACACTCTTAGCAATAGGTAAAACACTTGGATTGATTCTCGCTGGTAATTTGAAATGTTCCATCGTTCCAAAACACTTGCAATCATGGACAAGATCGAAGTTGCGTGATTCAATTCTTTAATCATCATAAATGCCTATTGAGAGACAAATACTTTAGGAGTTCATGGCTTTCTAAGTTTGATAGTACACTCTGTAACATTAAGTATATTCATTTAAAATGTGACCCTCCCTGGGAAAACAGACACTAAATGCTATACACTAAACAGTCCTGAAAAACAGTTGTTAAATAAGATATCAACAAAAATGCCATACAATAAGAGAAAATCCAAGAAAATTAGATCTTAAAATTCAAGGAACGCACTATTGCATCTTCTGTTTAAAAAAGTAGGTTAAGAAAATCATACCATAGCTCTGCTGAGTGCAAAAAGACATCTGTAAAAGAAATGATCACATGTTAATTTTAATTAGTTAAATTTCAATTTCACGATTGAAATTATTCACTGTGTACATGCAAAGGATTTTAATGTACTCGATTTGATCATTCATCATCTGAAAATGAACAATCCACTTGTACTTTACCAATTTGTCCAACAAATAATAATTTGATTTCATCAACTGAGATTGTAATATAAATTGGCCACCTTGGAGAGATTGTTGCAACTGGCCACTGACACCTCGCTTGGTTTTTTCCAATTTTCTATCTTGTTTGAAAGCATTGTGTCGAGTTGTGGAAACAGACTGAGTCCTTATTCTTGTGGTTGAAGCACTTAACATGACAGAGATTGTGAAGGTAAAGAGGCCAATTCACATCAACAGGTTCACTGAACCCAGTTTTTAAAACCAAATCATCTTGTAACCTCCGTTGACACAGCATCACAGTTTCTTAGGGACTTACCCCCTTTATTTTCACCAGTGAGTAGTACTTATTATGACCCCATGTAAGTGGTTTATACTGCACATGTACTAAATTAAATTATGCTAATGTCTCACTTCATATAATGTGAACAACACTGCTCTGCAAATCTCTCTCCCATTTCCAGGACTTCTGTTGCCGCCTTTAACTCTTTGTCACTGGCATGCACATCCTGAAACAAATAGAAAGTTGTCTTTCTTGTAAAACATTCATCACAAAATTCAAAATTAATTCCTCTCAAGACTCAAAATGTATCCATGAAATTACGATACATCGTTTGCTGCAGGGCAACTTGTAAAACAAATTATATCAAGTATAATATTTGACAACATATATAAACTTAATTCTTTAAGTATATGAAAGTGGAGTGATTCCTTTTCAATATTGGTTCATGCATAACTCACACAAAATATGGCCAACTGACAGGTACTGCACTTCATTATTAAGTTAGCATAATTATGCACTTGGCCTCACTCTGAATTAAGACTTGTTCATATTTACCCCCCACACTTTTAAATCTTTATTTTCTATGACTGCAAAACTAATTTTTTGATTTCCAGTCTGTCAGAAGGACCATTTCCAGTCCCTAGTTCCCCTACCTTGGTCCAAAGAATTATGTGACAAGTAAATTATTACACAGCATGTTATTTCCTTAAGTGACAGAGTAACCACACATAACATCTCATGCTATACGAAAAAAACTTACTGCTAACTGGAAAGTCATCTTGAATTGCCAAAAAGGCAAAATACTAGCATGGGCAACCTCCAGAGCTTGACGTACGGTAGACTTTGCTAGTTGATACTGGCCCTGAAAATCAATGTTAAGAAGTGAAATCAACAATTGAAAAATTTGTTCAAGGTGGTGGAAATTAAATAACTAGGGCCTTAAAATACAGCTATTAGAAAATTCGGTTGTACATACTTGTTATGTAAAATATAAATATCAGTGACGAAAACCAAAACCATACCTGTTCTTTATAAATTTCTGTCAAAACAGACATGGCCTCCAACCGAATTTCTTCATATCCAATTCCCAGCTTACTCTGAGTTAAGTACACATGGCCTTTTGTTTGAGACTGGTTACTTTTAATTATTTCAAACCTGTCTTCCCTTGTGACTACTTTTACCTGTATTAATAATACTTGCATGATACTTCTATTATAACAAATGAATTATTTTAATAACTTATAATAATTTAATAATAATTATCACTGCTAATCGCCGTCGCAAAGTACAGCAACAATGCAGCTCAACAAGGTCGAACCGAAAGCTTACAATTAATGGCGCCTCTGGCAGCCACTATACACCGTCCATGCGTGATCTTGGAGCACAGCTTACAGCCAACTGAAATCAGCCGAGTGTATGTTGGTTTTTGGTGAGGGAGGAAAAGCGGAGAACCTGGAGAAAAACCCTCAAAGCAGAGAAGAGAACCAACACAAACTCAACTCACTTATGGCATCAGGTCTGGGAATCGAACCTAGGCCCCAATGAAGGGAGGCAAGTGCTCTCACCACTACACCATCCCTGCTTATCATTGAATTGGCTGTCAAGCTGACACACCACCAAATGCTCAGAAGTGGTCCTGCTTCTACAGCTGATTACAGATGACAGTTAACCCATCAATGATCAAGGGAGAAGTTCTCCTTACAATATCAAGCAGCCAATTGTGGGTGTTGAGAATAGCAAAAAATACATAAATAAGAGGGATGTCATTGGATCAAATACTAAATTCTCAGAACCACTTAGTTACTTTATGAGAAATGTATGGCAGAAAGTATGTAAGGAGAATTTTCATCAAGATATTGAAGGTGAAAGGGTTAAAGCACAGAATCTATGAAATCAACTTTTCAACAAATAAACACAACACATCAAGTAAGGGCATGTTTGCACTATGCAAAATTTTGTTTGTTTCGCCAAAAAATATGTCAACACAAACCATTTTCAGTGTGTGAATGATTTTTTTAACCCACCAAAATTTTCACTAGTGCGACCAAACTTCAAAGATGCCTTCAACTAGATTTGGAGGCCTACAATTTTTTGTCAGGTGAGAAAATCTTTTGTTCCCTGACAGATACCCTTCAACTGATCATCATATTTTGTAACTGAACGTAATTAGTAAGTTGTCAAATTACTCTCTCCCCATTTTAAAATGTCTATGGAAAAAGACTTAGGGAAGTTACAATTTCAAACCAAGATTCTACAGGTCAGTGGTGGCATCAACATCTATTGAGCAAATCCCTCCAACAAATCCCTCCAACAAAACGAGAAGAAACTATTGACTAGCAACAACTAGGCTTTGCGTGGCAAGCAAACAGCAAAGAGGGGTGATTAAGACACTTTGCAGAGGCATTTTGCTTTGCAATCAGTCCTTGACCAGAAACAACGTAAAAGAAAACGGACTGTCATGAAATCTCCGTATCTATTTTGACTGATTGACATAAATTTGTGGTTACATAAATCATTTGCATGTCTCAAGTGCGAACACTATTATGAAAACAAAAAATTCATCATTACAAAATTTTCAATTTTTTACAAAATACCAAACTATATTTTCAGTGTAGGGTGTTACGAAAACAAAGACTCTCGAAAACGAAGACCTAAGACCTAAGACCCGGTCTTCATTTTTGTAGTACGAAAACTAAGACCCTGTAAACAGAAAACCGTAGAAATTACAAGTTAAACACAAATTAAACAGCAGCAACGCTAAGTAAAAATTATAATACTTAACAGTACTTCACGCATTTCTTCCCATTATTATACTGCCATTTATTTTGGTGTTGATATTCTCGAGAGTTTCCTCGGGTAAACTTACCACACATAAATTATTAATCTGGAACAGCAGGAAGAATTCGAATTCTAGCCGCCTTTGATTTATAGTTAGCACTGCGTGACATAATAACAAAGAACGCATTCCAAACAGTAAATGACTCTTGGGTTCTGTCAATAAATAATAATTATGTCTACTGTATTTCTATGCAATGAGTCCAAGTTTGGAACAGACATCCCCGTCGAAGGAGTCGTCAGAATATTTTTGGGCCTCACTAAGGTTAGGCCGGCTTTATTCTGGCTTTTAAATGATGGTCTTCGTTTTTGTACTACGAAAATGAAGACCCTTTATCAAAAGTAGAAAATCCTTTGAAAGTATGATTGTAGACGTACCCTGAGCACTAATAATTGTTATTTCAGCTTTATAGTTAGCATTTGATTTATAGTTCACACTGTGTGACAGAATAACAAAGAACGCATTCTGAACAGGAAATGACTCTTGGGTTCGATCAATAAATAATCTATGTCTACTGTATTTCGTAGCTAAAATAGATTCTGACAGTCGTTAAGCCTTCTCTGCTGTAAAATTCTCGTTAAAAAGTAAGCAATTCTATTGCCGCTAATGCAGGGTCTTCGTTTTCGTAGTATGAAAACGAAGACCATTTAATAAAAGCCCGAATAATGCCTGCTTAACCTTAGTGAGGCCCTAAAATATTCCGATCGCTCCTTCGACGGGGATGTCTGTTCCAAACTTGGACTAACTGCATAGAAAAACAAATCCAAAAGCCGAAAGCAGTGGTCGCTGAAGAAAGAACAAGGTCGACAAGAAAAACCACGCGCGAACTGTCTTAACATAACAAAAGCTGAAACAATAATTACTTGTGCTCAGAGTATGTCTACAATCATACTTTCAAAGGATTTTATGCTTTTAATAAAGGGTCTTCGTTATCGTAGTACGTAGTACTACGAAAATGAAGAAGCTGCATTAGTAAAAAGAATTGCTTAATTCTTAACAAGAAATTTCCAGCAGAGAAGGCTTAACGACTGTCAGAATCTATTTTAGCTACGACATACAGTAGACATATTATTTATTGACAGAACCCAAGAGTCATTTATTGTAAAGAACGCGTTCTTTGTTATTATGTCACACAATGCTAACTATAAATCAAAGGCAGCTAGCGTTCGAATTCTGCCTGCTGTTCCAGAATAATATGTGTGGTAAGTTTACCTGAGGAAACTCTCGAGAATATCAACACCAAATTGGCTTGCATAACAAAACAGAACAGACAAGACATGCCAGCAGTACTGGCGAGTATAATCATGGGAAGAAACGCGTGAAGTGTAAAGTATTATATTACTAAACGTTGTTGCTGTTTAATGTGTGTTTAACTTATAATTTCTACGGTTTTCTGTTTACAGGGTCTTCGTTTTCGTAGTACGAAAGTGAAGACCGGGGGTCTTTCGTACTACGAAAACGAAGACCAGGTCTTAGGTCTTAGGTCTTTGTTTTCAAGGGTCTTCATTTTCTTAACACCCTTTCGGTGTAGTGCAAACACTGGGCATAACACTACATGTTGAGAGGACAAGGGTTTCCATCTGGACTATTTTGATTGGTCCATGTCTGATTGAGCCTTGGAATTATTATACTTGTTAAACTGCACGTTCAAAGTCAAATTTTTTGCATTAAATCAAATAAATCTTGTATATTCAAGTTGCAAAACCTTGAATTCTTACTTCTAAGATGAATTTCACCAGAACTCGCTCATTAATTTTCTATTAGTATGCAGCAGATAAAGTATAAACATTCTAAGAACAAAGGATACAGATTGAGCCTGGACGACCTGTTAAACGAAAAAGTGCGATCGAGATCAAT